AGTGAAAGTGCTGTCGGATTCTCTAAAGTACTGCAGTCTCTTTCTCCTAAGCCTTTTGGTACTGCGGTACTTTAGAGAATCCGACTGCCCTTTCACTATCCGACGTGTTTATGATGCGCCAGCGGACGTCCTGAATGTGCGTCTGCTGCTGGTGGAAACTATGGAAACTACAGTGTTCTATACAGCGGACTACAACATGGATGTTTCATAAGAACGAGGGACTACTGTAAACTCATCTAGACTCTGCACCGTGCTCTGATGCTGTTGCTTTATGCTTAATGAACGTGGACAAGAGAGAAACATATTCTTCATGATCAAAGTTTGAATTGAAATAAAAAAGGAAAGTGAACCTTATGCTCGTCACCCTCTCCCTCCGGTCCACATTGATACAAATGATCCCAATACGTATGATTGTATGAAAACATCTTAAAATAAATACAAATGTATTTATTATAAACGTTAGTCTTTAACATCTATCACTGTGTATATCACCATTCAAACATCACACACCACACCACACAGCTAAAAAACACTGTGAAATGTTAACTTTATTTGATCATTTCAGTAAAAACTAACGTTCATATTTCTCTTTTTGATTATAATACTGATGAACGTTCATAACAAAGCAAATTTGGCATTTTACCACCTACAGTTTAAAATGCTTAATAAGCACCGTAACTTTCATGATATAATTTCTCGGTCATAATCGGTTGTTTCCGTGAACGGCCGACTGTTGTGTGACGGCAAATGCTGCGGCCGCAAGGCATTGTGGGGCAGAATTTTCTCCTCTCCTTTCGGTAAGGGAGGTCCAGTGGTTCCTAAGCTAAAGGAGGTTATAAAGGAAGTTTGAAACCTCCTTTCCTATCATGTAGAGAATTCGAACGGCACTTATCATGGCTGCCACTGAGGGACTTCCGGGTCATTGCACTCCGTTAGGAAGGTTCCTAAGCTAAACGGACTATTCGACTTCAGCCCTGGGTTCGGTCTGAAGGGGAGTGGCTTGGCTTGACCCTGGACTCAGAGGGACAGGAGGTGAAAAGGGGAGGAAGAGGGTTGCGTCGAGTCCATAGGGTCGAGTCACCTGAAATGAAAGCTGTTAGAGGGGGGAGAGCAGATTTAAAAGGGTTAGCGGAGCACTATGATAGGCTTGTGATAATAGAGCGAAGTGATTGGTTGAGCTGGGGAGTGACGCCCCCGGTCACTTGTTGAGAGGAGAGAGAGTAGTAACATAGAAATAGTAAATTAATGAGTAAAGACGGTCTTCCTGGTTGAGATTCATGTATTTTGCCAACATTTATTTGTATCACCTTTTTTTCCATTTTCCAACATACTATACTATGATTTCTTTCATATTTATAAGAAATATTCTATAAAATATTCTGAAACTAGCCATTAAGTATAACAAGTAATTTGACTTTCAGTTCTTTAAGAAATAAAAAGAAACTCAACGCCACAGATTTCACATTTTAATGATTCCATTCTCCAGACTTTTCCATAAAAACAAAATCACTCGGCTTGTAAGGCATGCATGAATACATATATACATGTTTTATATACTTTTGAGCTCCACATGTGTTTAACAGCATCTCTTTTAGATCAGTTTACAATTCATATACTCAGTTTAAGTGCATTGCTCCGTTAACTAAAATCACATTTGCTACACACCAGGTCCAACGGTTCAAAACTGGCCAGAAAAAAAAGAATCCTTCATTTACTTTTTGCAGAGTTTTTTGGAGCAAGCTTATTTTCTTTTACAGTAAATTGAAACCCAAGCTTATGAAAACACATAAAAAAGTAAAGACATGTATACCTAAGAGAAGAAATGAACAGTGTTTTTATCAAACATCGAGTAAAAACCCTGTCAAATGCACCGATTCAATCTGTAAAGAAGTGGAACTCTGCGTGCAGTTAGGTGTTTAAATATCCGATGATATGAATTCTCCTTCGAGCACCAGAGAATATTCAATGTGAGGAAGAAGACCCTGTGAAAAGGAACATGTGCCTCTTTCTCCAGGCCCAGGTGCACATGCAGAAGACTGATATTAGACAGAGAGGTGCATTGTGGGTATGAATAAACAGAGACTTCTCAGAGGCAAATAAAAAGTAAAATGGCTGAATGTGTAAGGCAGAGTTTCTCCAGGAGAGCAGATCCTGAGGGGAGCAAGAAAGGGCCAATTAGGTTCATGATTTGGGTGAAAATGAAGATTTTTAGTGCGTTATCGTCAAAAATGACACATGAGATGTTTACCTGTTAGGTCAGCTGCTGAATGAGATCTTTCTCTGGATCATGTTTATCATCCAGCTCCTCGTCAGAGTCTGAAAACAGAAGAGAAACACCAAAACATCACAACTCCAATTTTTACTTAAACCAACAAAAAAAAAACGTTTTTAACTCTCAGCATTAACACCAATACTCCACAGTTTGTATTTTAATAAATATGTTAGATATTGTAATGCAATGTGCTCATTTTTAGAAGTCTTGTGTTTTGAAGATTTTTTAACTGTATTATATTTGATCTTTTATTATATATTTTTGGATTCTGAAAATTCTGATTATTGCACATTCAAACCTTTCAAACTCTGAAATTCAGCATAAATATTGTATTAATAGTAACAAACCACTAACCCTAACCTATATATATATATATTTTTTTTTTTAAATACATGTTTTATATTGTAACTTCAACGTCTTATGTTTCTTAATTTTGTATCTATTTATTTGATTTGATCTTTTATGACCTATTATACTTTAACTTCCTATGTTTAAATACATTATTTTATTTTGTCTTTCTATTGCACATTCTTAAATAAACTCATTATCTTTATATAACTATTTATATTCTAATCTATTTGATGTTTTATCAGACATGTTACTTAATTTAATTTTTGATTGTTTGTATAAATATCTTTATTTAAATGTAGTTTATAATTCAATTGCACATTTCAACTTAAACTTCAAACTGATATTTTAATATAAATAGTTGTATTATATTTTATTTTATTATCTTTTATTTAAAAACTGTCACGAAACCCAATTTTCCCCCGGGATATAAATGAAGTATTCAGATTCTAATGTGTTTTTCCTGCCACTAGGGGGCTCTATAAACAAACCAATAACAAAGATGATTGAGGTACAGAGTGAAAACTATAAGAGTTATTAAACTGACAGGAGACAGGTGATGAGTTCGTGGTGCGTTCACTGACCTGCCACAGACTCCGGTGGAGAGTAGAACTGACCGTCAGATAACGGGCCGGGACCCATGAGAGGAGCTCGCTCTGCGTCCATGAGGGACTGAAACCCTGAGACACAGAGAGCAACGAAGACAAACATACGTTTATATGTAAGCAGCAAAGGTCACTAGATCAAATGATGACATGAGGCAGTTGATCACTTGATTCTGATTGGTCAAGTTGGACATTCCGTGGTCTTTTATACAACAATATAAGACTGCAGCTTAGAGCACTTTGATCGAGGATCTATGTGAAGTCATATCAATACGCAAAAAGAAGTCAATTTAACGTCAGCTGTGGACGACAAACATTAGTTTCCCTTTTAAATATACATTTTTAGATTTGAGAGCACACAACTTTGGATTCATGATGGCTGACGTTTCCTCAGTAAAGAAAAGACAAAGAGAACAAGAGAAGGGAAAAGGTACGTCAGAGAAATCATCAGAAGAAGACAGAAAGGAAGTAAACACTATGGGCTCTCAATTTCCCCCAAAGGTGAAACAAAAGTATTCTAAAAGAGACCCTTGAGATTCACTGTCTAAATAAACCTTGATTATAACACTGCTGAATATCTGAGACTCACGGTTGAGCTCCTCGTTCTCCTGCGGCAGAACCTTGAAGTCCAGCAGCCAGGTTTCTATCCAGGCCAACACGAAGGAGACGATGGGCAGCAGGTACCCGAACGCACCCTGAGACAGCAGCTGGGAGGAAGGTTTATTTATAAAGTACCTTTCAACACAAAGACATTCAGAGTGCTTTACGACTGAGACAACTTTAAGAGGTCCCCTACTGTCCTGTTCTTCATCAATAAAGATATATCCAGAGCCTGTCTCTGATTGGCTGAGAATCTTTGTTCCTGAAACTTTCAGAGTCTCTTTCCACAGAGGGGACACATGTTGATGTAGAAGACACATGGAGAAGAGGGGACACATGTTGATGTAGAAGAGACATGAAGAAGAGGGGACACATGTTGATGTAGAAGAGACATGAAGAAGAGGGGACACATGTTGATGTAGAAGAGACATGAAGAAGAGGGGACACATGTTGATGTAGAAGAGA